TTTATTGCGCTGTAAACTTTTGACCTGGCCACTTTTGCGAATGTATGTTATACTTCTATACAAAAGTGTCTGTTCTTCAAATTGCTCCATTTTTATGATTATGAATCAACTCTTTTATAGAATGTTAAGATATAGCTGGCGAAATCCTACTAGAAGGTCTTGTTTCTGAAGAAGCAATGGAGAAATTGCTGTTTGGCCTTAGTATTAGAACAGTTGTGGCTCTCCCTACCAACTGGTATGTTTTTATCACATTGCTGTTGTTAGCTGCCTTAAAGTTGGCCTCTGACTCATGGCGACCCCATGCACCAGGGAACGAAACACTGCTTAGTCCTGTGCCATCCCCATGATTGGCTGTGGGTCAGACCACTGTGATCCATAGGGTTTTCACTGGCTAATTTTCAGAAGTGGATTATCAGGGCTTTCTTCCTTGTCCATCTTAGTCTCAAAGCTCCACTGAAACCCGTTCAGCATCATAGCAACACACAAGCCTCTACTGACAGAAGGGCAGTCGCTGAGCATGGGGTGCGTTGGCCAGGAATAGAAGGCAAGAGTTCTATTCTAAAAGAAAATAAAGGAAGGCACGAGTTCTACCCACATGGAAGGCAAGGAAGGCAAGAGTTTTATCACTGAACCACCATTGCCCCCATTTTTATCACTTAGATACCCTGAAATGTTTAAGTAAACAGGTTTTCCCTTTTATGTTGATTGCCGAAAACCTTGGAGCCAAGTTTGAGGCCCACTTATGGCAAAAACACAGATACTTCTGTGGTGTGCATTTTTGCATACCATGCATGCTTCCATTCCTACAGTTGCTTTATTTTTTCCTCACAAAATTGTAGTTTGATAGTTTGCAGCATTTACAAACTTCCGTAATCCTATCTGGAGCAAGCAACGGTATTAATAAATAAAAATGCTTTAAAGGTCTTTTTTTTTTTCCTTTCTTTAAACACAGATAATTTGTTTTGCTTTCATTTCTTTCTAGTTTAGTACACTGCAGTCTAACCGAAAGTCCTGATCCGGAATTCCAGTTTCTGCCACTTATGAATCATGTGACTTTGAATGAGTTGTTTAGTCTCTCTGATCCTAAAAAATGGGAAGAATAATAGTTTTCACAGGATAACCTTAAGATTAAAATAATCATTCAATATGTGCATACACCTGGTTTAGTGGCTACCACATAGAAAGATTACTAAAAATGGAAAATTTACACAGAAAAGCTACTAAGCAAATAGAACTAGAATTAGTTTTGTGAGATTTTAAGGATATAAGGTACACTAAAACTATTTTATTAGACCATCATAAAATTTAGTAAAGCTGTTTAATGGAGAAATATTTAAATTTTAGTATAAGTGAACTATCCTTAGTCTGGAATAAATTTACCTGCTCCTATAACATCTATCGGAACCACAAACATCACAACACCATCAAGAAAAGTGAACAAATATAATCTGTATTTCAAAAACATCTTCAAATCACTTCTTGAAACATATACCCCTGTATGTTTTTAAGGCTGCTATATAGCATATGGTGATTAAGGTCACGGGCTTGGAGACATATAGCCTAAACTAAAATCCCACCACTACCACTGACTAGTGTAAGACTGTGAGGAGTTATTTAACCTCCCTGAACTTCAGTTTTGTCAGTGTAAAATGTGAACAATAATGATGCTACCTACTTCATAGGACTGTTAGGAAGATTAAGGAAATAATAGAAATATAACAGTACAGTGTCTGGCACAGTACAGTTGTTAAATGAATGGTAGCTACTATATTATTTTACTGCTATACTTTTTGTATTATATTGCTATTTGTTTATTTGTAAACCTATCGCCATTGTTAGAATGTGAGCTCCAGCAAGGCATGGACTATGCTTCAGTCTTTTTTTTTATCTTCAGTTCTAAGCCAAGTGCCTACTATACATAGTAGATTCTCTGACGATGGATGGTGGGAGGAAAGGAGGTGAGGAGGACAGGGTAAGGAAATCACTTAAATTGAGGACCAAGGTCCTTTCCTATGTATGCCATGGGGACCGGATGTGGGAAATGGGGGAGAATTCAACCACCGCTCTTGCCAGGTCTGGGGCATCAGGGTTTCCACAATGGCTTCTGTGATGGTCTTGGCAGAGGTTAAGAGGCTCAAAATTAAAAATTTCTGTGGGAAGTACATAAAATTAGAAGTGAAATTAGTCAGGTGGTGAGGGTAGGAATTGCAGGGTTTGGGAGTCAGAGAAGGCACTAAGACGGATCACTAGTAAGCAACAGAAGGGAAGGTAAATTCCCATGTGCAATGCCAGCAGGGAGAAATGGGGAGTTCTTGTGGCTAAGTCAATTGCAGAATTCACTTACTGGGATGCAGATTAATGTGTCAGTGAGGAACTACATAGCTAAAATACTGTCATTAATTGCCACCGTCAAGATTTTAAGATGAATAACATGTTTTCTTATCTAAGTCTACTTAATAAGCACACAAGAGAACAGGCTGCACTGTATTCAACGCCGGCTCAACCTTTACTACTTGTACAACCCTGGACAAGTAACTTAATCATGGTGAGTCTCAGTTTCTATATTCACGCAACTGAGAACAATACTACCTTCATGTGAGATTGTTATGAGGGTCAGTAATAATAAAATGTCTGACACAATGCTTGGCCCATAGTGGGTACTCTAATAGTAACTATTATTATTTCACAGGCCAACAAGATATTCAGTAATTCATTAAAAATAACTTGCTTAATCTTCTTTACTATTTCATACAGCCAACTATGCTAAGTGGTTATAGTGGCTATAATATGTACAACACTGCTATGTCTTCAGGAAGATGAATCTGCAAAGTTTGTCTCAATATTTCCTTTGACATTTAGAGAAGTACAAGAATGAGCTAACAAAATAACTATTAACAGTCACATGCTCAAATACAATATTAATAGTTCAAAATAAATTTTTATATTGAAAGCCAAATATTCTGGTAAATTTTAGCTTGCAGGCAAATATTAAATTGGAGAGATCAGAATGACTTTGTCTCTTTTTCATCGTGAAGTGGTATATCACAAGAATGAAAACGCTAGAACAAAACATTTGACACCTTTTTTTAACCCTCTACAAAGCTGGTCTATTCAGTCTACTCTTATTTCCTACACCTTGGTCACATTAATCCTTCAGTCAAATCTGGCCTCCTCTGTACTCCCAACCCCATGCTCACTCTCACCACTGAACCCTTACTTGTTCTGTCCCCAGCTGTACTGTACTCACCTCACCTCTCTACTATGTTTTCTTACTGATGCCTGCTTATGCTCAGGACTCTGGCCTACCCTGCAGTGCACAATTAACATCTCATCACAAACACCACACTTTTCTAGTCTTTAATTTGCACAATGAGGTTCTTTAACGGTAGAAAACTCAAGCCTGTGGATTAATTTTCTTTTCACGTGTGTATAGGATAAGAGATGGCTTTCACAGATCATACATGAAAAATATACACCAAAGTTAAACTTCATGTGAACTATTTTTTGACAGTCTTCATGAGGAAATTATCCTTATTTGTAGTCAAGGTAGATGGCAGGCAAAATTAATGTTTGCTGACTCATTTTTAGACAAGTTTTAGAGATAAAGTCAACCTATATATACTTCTCTTAATTCAGCAATATTCAAGTTTCCTTATCACTAGAAGTCAAAATTTTAAGAGGGAGCTTGCTTTATTTTAGACACAATTTCCTTTGGGAATACTTTTAAACACAGGAATAGTTCCTAGGGTTCTCAAAAGAATAAGGATTTCTAGAACATACTTGTTTGTAACATTTTTTTCATACATGGCACTGGACCAAAACAGACTGTAGCAAAAAATACATGCAAATAAGTAATAATTATACAATACCTTGAATCCCTCAAATATTATCATGGCTGAAAACCAATATTTATAGAAACTACCTGAAAACTCAGGACCAACCAATTAAATTAAACCTTTAAGATTAATCATTTTTGTTAATGTTTGGTTTGTTCTTTCTTCATTCAGAATTTATTCTTAGATTTATTACCTCCAGGAGGTATTACCCAAATCACTCAGACCTAACTGAAGGGAACTGAAGGATGTAATACCAGGAAAGGGTAATGTCCAAACTTTTCCCTTGAGGTTTAAATTCATTTAGTGGTCAAAATGAGCTTCTTTCTTCTTTTTTTCTTTCTTTTTTTAAACAAATGAAGTTTAGGTTACCCTTTCAGATCTGATCACTGTGAATAAACATTATTTTATAAATAATTCAAAATAAGAAACATGTTTTTCCATTTGTGTTTAGCTAGGTATTTATCATTAGAAAATAAAAAAGAACAAGGAAACTGACCTAGAATCACATTAACCAAAAAAAAGTGTCTCTCTATTCAAAACATATTAGTTCAAATAATTTAAATTACTCAGTATAGTACTTAGTAAACTATCTGAAAATTTCATGAGTCGAATCTCACAGATTCAAGGTAGTGCCAGTTTAAAAAGTGTTCAGATACTAAGAAATCTGTTAACTGATATTAGGCAAGTATCCTTTTTTGCAATCTCAGTAATACCACCATGGGGAGAAAAAGAAGACAAGAGTAAAAGACTTCCCTCTACCCCCAACGGTAAATATCACAAATTTATTTTATAAGTATAAGGGAAATTTTAGTTTAATTGAAGTAATTTTGACACAGAGGCAACTATCAAGAGTTTTCAGACCACAATAAAACAATCATATGCCATGTAAACATTATTAATACATAATCATTCTAGGTGATTGAGAGGTTTAAGGAAATAATCATTCTAGGTGATTGAGAGGTTTAAGGAAAATAAACCCTCAATACTGGCACAGAAAAAAATCTTATAAAAAAGAAGATTATCTTTTAGAATATTCTTATTAATTATCATCAAGGATTCATAGAAAATATTTAGCATAAAAGAGTTTTAAACCAGTAACGAAGTGTTGTTACAATACAGAGGAAGGAAGAAAGAAATATGTGAAGATCAGAATTTATCACTTACCTCATGATTCAGCTCTGCTATCTGATCTTTCAGTTCCCTAATATACTGGTTAGAATCAGACTTGTTAAGCTGTCCTTGAAGCTTTCCTTCTTCTTTCTGTTTTGTGACAATACAACAAAGTAAAAACAAGTGATAATTTTCACAACATGTACTCAAATATTTCAGTTATAGGACAGCATTAAGTGCATATCCTTTGACTGGCTGAATTCTGAACAAATCCCATTCTCAAACCATCTCTGAAAAATAATTCAAAGTGAACTATGCTGCATATTTATAAATAATGCTTAATTAGAGTTGTTTACAATAAATGCAATTTACAAAATATATCTTTTGAGGGACTCTTAGAAATCAAGCAATTGAAAGGGTCTGCTAATGAAAAAATTATCCTAAAATTTCAAAGCTGTTTATCTGATGTAGCCAATTAAGTTGTTTTGAGGGCAGATGATTCTCCATCCATACCCTGAAAGATTCAATGCTTAGTGGTAAGCTGCCCAGTGCTACACTGGGAGGTCTGCTTTTGCTTGAGAAACAGAGAAAGGAGAAAAAAAAAAAAAAGTCCTCCAGATCACTTTTAAAAGGGAGAACAGCTCTGAGTCTCCTCTGATAGCTGGTTAAAAGGTGCTCTTAATTCTAAGAACCAGATCCAGAACAACGTTGGGACTATTTCCCAGGGATATAGATTGGGAAGGAGAGGGGTTAACTTTTCTTGCACTACTTGCAAACAAATGTGAACTTTTTAGATAAAGAACTTACTAAATAGTAAAAACAAAGTCGTGATTGTGATTTCCAGATTATTTATCATTAGGCAGTCCACAGACATCTATAGAAACTATTGAATAACTCTTGATACCAGAGGAGGTGGGGCTTACTTTCAACAGTCGCCAACCACCCAATTTCCTTTCATGGGACAACCACTGTTAATAATTTTTTAGTGTAGTCTTCCCATGACATTTTGTACAGATACATGACATTTTGTACACGTTTATGCATACACATATTTGCACCCATACCATCAACAATATATACAGTTTTGTACTTTGCTATTAACTCTCAACAATACAACTTGAAGATCATTCTATATCAGTACATAGAGAGCAGAAAGATACACATTCTGATTTGAGAGAGCTTTGAAGTTCCTGTAAAAGTTATTCTAGTGTTGAGTATTTATAGGCTCTTTAACAGTAGTTTTCAAAATGTATCTTAGGTCCTATACTATCACCTTGAGAATAACGGATTGCAGTGCAGAGCATTTTCCAATGTGGAGGTCCATATGCTATCTTATCACTCACAGTAAGAAGGGACCTTGGACACCATCTGGTCTGGTCCTCTGACTGCAGCCAAGCTCGCCCTCCACTTTCCTCTTCCACACTGTCCTCTAACGGCCTTGGCAGGAAGAACTGTAACAGCTCCAGCAACAGAATGGGTAGCTTCACAGCAGAGACAGAGCACCATTCCAACAACTCTGCTCTTCTGCATTAACTGTCTCCACTTCTGTACGTACCTCGATAGCATCCCTAACTACCCTTTAGTCTGTTCTTCAAATCCTTTCAAGTTATCCTATAAGCACCCATCCTTTTTTTTTTTTTTCTGGGCAACTAGTCTTAAAAAACTTTTATTGGAATATGGATTAGGAGAAGCTGTTTTCAGACTGCTGGAATTTTGGCGTTTGTATAGACGTAAAAACACAACTACAGCTTTTATAGGCTTTAAGAACTTTTCTTATATATTTAAACACGTGAATATCACATACAATCACCTAGGCAAAGTACTGTCTAATTTAACAATTACCATTTCTAAATGGAGCACTGGTGGAGCAGTGGTTAAAGCGCTTGGCTGCTAACTAAAAGGTCAGTGGTTTGTAACCACCCGTGGCTCCGCAGGAGAAACACGTGTCAGTCTGCTTCCATAAAGACTTACATCCTTGGACACCCCACAGGGCAGATCTACTTCTGTCCCACAGGGTCGCTATGAGTCGGAATCAACTCGATGGCATTGGGTTTGGTTTTTTTTTTTTGGTAATATTCCAAATGTGCTAGGCTTCTTAAATATATTCAAAAGACACATTATGACCTTAAGCCATAAGCCCATATTTAAGGAAAAGATATATTCTTTTTTTTAAATTAAGCTTTAAGAAGGGCAAAACCAAAGAACAGCAGATATTAATTCAGAGTCCTAGTCAAACCACCTCAGAAATCTTTCCTACCTGACTTTTCATTTACATAAACTGATAAAATTCCTTTATGATTTAAACCAGGTTGAACTGGAGTTTCTGTCACTTGTAACAAAAATAATAATAGCTACCATTAGCTATTAGAACAATCGATGCCTTTAAATTACGGTGTTGGTGAAGAATATTGAAAATACCATAGACTGCCAGAAGAACAAATAAAGACTTGCTTGTTCTTGTACTTCTTGGAAGAAGTACAGCCAGAGTGCTCCTTGGAAGCAAGGATGGAGAGACTTTGTCTCATGTACTTTGGACATGTTATAAGGAGGGACCAGTCCCTGGAGAAGGACATCATGCTTGGTAAGGTAGAGCGTCAGCGAAAAAGAGGAAGACCTTCAATGAGATGGACTGACACAGTGGCTGCAACAATGGGCTCAAACACAGTAACAATTGTGAGGATGGTGCAGGACCGGGCAGTGTTTTGTTGTGCACAGGGTCACTATGAGTCAGAAACAACTCCACGGCACCTAACAACAACCACCACCACCACCACCATATACTGAACACTGATCAGCCCTTCTCAACTGATGCTGCCCAAAGGAATTAAGCCCCAATGCCTAAAGCATCCACTGTATGTAATGATTTAACTTACTTCCAATGCATCTAGAATGGTACCGTGTGCTATCTTTGGGAGAAATGAGAAAATAGTCACTCAAATCATTTTCTGTAGGGCTTAATTCTCTTGTGGAGCCCTGGTGGAGAAAGATTGGTGCTTACAATGTTCTAAGCCCTTTAAATGTAATTATCACAACCACACTTTGTGACAGATAGTATTATTATTCCTACTTCATAGATCCACCAGCTGTCTGTCAGTTTGTTATACTGTGATAGACTGTGTGTTGCTAAGATGCTGGAAGCTATGCCACTGGTATTTCAAATACCAGCAGGGTTACCGATGTTAGACAGGTTTCAGCAGAGCTTCCAGACTACGAGAGACTAGGAAGAAAAGGCTGGTGATCTTTTTTATTTTCCAAATATTAGCCAATGAAAACCTTATGGATCACAACAGAATATTATCCAATATAGTCCTGGGAGATGAGTCTCTTAGGCTGGAAGGCACTACACAATAGCCACAACAATGGGCTCAAACATACCTACGATCAGGAAGATGGTACAGGGCTTGGCAATGTTTTTGTTCTGTTATACATAAGGTTGTCATGAGTCAGAGCCTATTTGATGGCAACTAACAACAACAACCCCATAGATGAGGAAATGTGAATCAAAGACTGAGTGAACTGGCTAACAGTTGATATATTTTTTACCCTAAATTACACAATTCTGAACATGAGAAACAAGAGTATACGGAGATTTATGCAAAGGATCACAAGTAGAGTAGCTTTCTTAGATTTGTTGCCAAAGTCTTATGTCTTTACTTGAATACTTATTTCAGCTCCTGCCGACTTACATGCAAATTGCAATATGAAAATTAAATGAAATGAAAGATGTCTAAGCTAATGATCCACATTAACTTGTAGCTGTCCAAAAACACGTGTACTTATGTCTAGATCTTATTTTTAATCACCCCACTTTTTAAATAAAGTATTTCAACGGCACAGAACAAGAACAAAAGGTTAACAGAATAAAGACTAACGAATCCACTACCCAAATTCAGCCTGTTTCCTCGTAAGATTTCCTTGGCTCTAGACTTGCTATCTTAGTCCTATATATCCTCAAAGTGGGAAAGGATGGTATCAAGCAGGGGTGAATGAGTAAGTGAAGCAGGAAAGAAGAGAAGAATATAGGAGAGAGAAAAAGTATATAGAGGGAGAATATTCATTGATGTAAAAGAAACTATTCTTCTTCTAGAATGTATTCTCCAAATCCCATATGTGACATGAGAAATGGCAGCAGAATGTAAGTGAGCAGATATACTTCCAAAGGAGACTAACTTGATGAGAATCACTCATTTGGATATATCTGTTCAACTGCACTTTTTGGTGGCTTTGTTTTGTATAATTTTGGTGTCACATCACATTTTCTTCCTTGAAATGCCTGATTAAATGGTAAATGAAATCCAATTCTAGGAAGAAACTGTTTTGGATGAGATGGAAAGCCTACATGTCTGTGGGTTGGAATCAGGTTTGGAGAAAGGTACCTTTGTGTCTGGTACCCAATGAAGGCAAAGTTCTTGGAATTTTTGACACCCCACAGCAATAATGTCATATGGGCTGACATGAAATTTTCTGTGCAAGTTAGATAACAAAGTACAAGCTAAGCTCTAAGGTTGTAAGATACAAGTTCGAGAAAGAAAAGACTTTAGGTTTGAAAGGGGGTCAGAACATACTCAAAGGCAACTAAACAACAATAACGACCAGTAACAATTAATGCCTACTCTTTCCTATAAAGAAACTTGCAATGATAAAAAAGAGTTTGGCAGAATAGATATCATTACATATGTTTTCCAAAAAAGCTACCAAGTGACTCCAAAGATGACTCCTTCGAAGGTCGGACTCATTAGGGTTTAGCTAAAAATTTTGTTATAGCATCTTGATTTCTTTGGAGGAAAGGGACTATTTAATGAAAAAACAGGGCAACAAAGACATTTTACAATAAAAAAGAAGGAACATTTTTAACTTATAAAAAACAAAAAATCCTGAAAGATGCTTGTAAATATCTTTCCAAAGAAATTCTCTTAGATCTTGTGACTAAAATAAAGATGCTCCTTGAACTTCTGATTTATTGTAGAAATAAGGTAGAATTTCAAAGAGAAAAACTTTTTATACATTGGATTAAACCCAATTGTTTACAGTTGTCCTTTACAGATTTCAAAATAACTTTATAAAGCTTAATGTTAGATTTGTCTATGCAACTCTAACATATAAAAAGTCACACTATTATGCTCACTAAACCACTGTTTCTCTTCTGTGGA